CTTTAGCTGCCTTCATTCCTTTTCCTGCATATTTTCAGGACTGCTGCAACTGTAAGAAGATATTATTCAATTTACAAATCTACTCAAAGAAGGGGAGTTTACTTAAATCTTCCATCATCGATATATCAACTTTTCCTTTGCTTATCTCTGCTTTTGCTTCTGCATTTTTTTTTCTGTGCTTCTGTTACACAACCTTAAAAACTCTTCACACTATCGCTGTAAAATTGGCTATGAAAATTTTTTTTTCTCCTCTTTCATTTGACCACACTTTTAGTAGCAATTTTTTAAAACTTATTACAGAACATTTGTTTCATCGTAACTGAAAAAAAAAAAACCTCCAAATAACAGCAGAAGTCAACAAATAAAAATAAAAAAAAAACTTTGCTTTGATATGCTAAGCAAGAAAAAAGTGGAGAAAGAAAAAATAAATGAAAATTTCTCATTGAATTAATGCTATAAAACATAGGCTTTAGTTCAAAATGTATATGTAGTTTTTTTTCCAGAACTATAACACAAAAACTTTCTCAACATATCTGAACCTAATACATATGCGGAAAAAAAAATGTAACGAAGAAAAAACAAAAGATGAACTTATTGTTGATTATACTTCAGTCTCTCCTGGCTTTTTTGCTGCCTAAATTGCTATCATAAATTTTTGTTTTGTATACTCTATACAATGGCAAACATCTTAAAGTTTCATCTGTGTTTTGCAGAATCTGTTTTTGAAGTCTACTAATTTAGACTAGACATCGGTAAAAAAGCCATATTGTACATCGACTGCCATTATCGAAACATAATTCTTGGAAAACAGTCGTTGAAAAGCCGTTGGCAAAAAAACGGAGAAATTCTTGATGTTACAGCAATACAGTAAACAGTAAACTGTTAATACATTCATTTAGAGACCTTAAAAATACCAACAAAAAAAAAGTATCTCTAATTAACCGTTTCAGTAAAAAAAAAAAAGAGAAAGAAAGGAAAAGACGAGAAAACCAAGAATAATATTGCCAAGTAATCAACGAAGAAAATGATTATGATTTTAACGAAGTAGAAGATCGTAGTTTGTTTGTTGAATAAAAAAAACTTACACCAAGTCTACTATTATCACTTGGAAAACAAACTGAAGTGTAAAACTGATAAAAGACGATGGAAAAAACTTAGAAAAGATAAAAATATTATGTCGATACTATGCTTGTTGCTGATGTTTTTATTGTTGTTTTTGCTGCTCTTATTAGTTTCGCGCTGCCGAAGCTGATGCTGACGATGATGATGCCGAATGTTCGCTGTGTTACCTGTAAGTGATTTTTGAAATGTTCAATTTTGACAGATTTTACATCTCTTAAAAACAATGACTTTATAATCTTTTTTTTTTTTCTTTACTCTGCTATAACTCAATTTGTTGATGATAAAAAAGAGAAGAAAAAAGGATTCGTTAGAAAATATTTTCATTTTTATCGACTATTGTTTTGACTACATCACACACGCATACA